CTTTATTTTGAATTTTGAGCTCAACTCGTGCTTACGGTATATTTTTATTGCTAAAGACTTCCATGCATAACTGGCCTCTCATCCTGTGATCGGCTGGTGACAGCTGATGAGGAACATTCAATTCAGCAATGCTAACTTTCTCTACTTCCTGATAGCGACTGAATCTCGTCCAAGACTGCAAACAAAAAAGTTCGCGGTGTCTACCTTAGGATAATTATAAGGTCTGACAAAAGCAGAACAGAATTAAAACAAATTTTAACATAAGTAATTCAAGAGCTGGTCATACTTTGCATAAAATCGGCGTGAACGAGGTTAAACAGAAATTTAGAAATGCAAGCTATCCTTGATAATTTTCTCTGAAGTTTCTGGAGAATCTTTTTCCAAAATCACATCCTTCTCTGGGAAATGTAAATTTAGGCGCTAATGCTCGCTTTTCATGTGTTGAGAAAGTACTGGAACCCAATTCCTTTCCTAAAAAAAAAAAAAAGGGGGGGGGGGTGTAGAATTTTACGATGAATTGTAATTTCATAACTTAAGCTATGTTATTAAATCATTAACTGCTCCTCCTTTCTATCTCATCTTTTCTGTCTAGCCAAAGTGGAAGGTAATTATCAATATAATCCGTTCCTATAAATAAAGAACTCTCCTGTGGCTTAATATTCACTATTGACTCTCTGCACCGGCTGATTACTGATCAGCAAATTGCAATCGTAAATAGCATGGAAATATCTGCGTGTGTATCAGTGACAGTTAGTGATAGCTGTTAATGTTATAATGTTATTAGCCAAACGATTTTACTGATTTGGAAAGTATTAATATAAAATCAATACCTAAGTTCTGTATTAAACGATATTTGTATTATTATCATCAGATATCAGTCATACTCGGCTGATTTTTTGTTTTTTTAACAAATTCTTTTACATAATTATCGATTTCAATGTAAAATAATAGCCGTATCAAATTAAACAAACTGGTTGGTTCAAATATACACATGAATAGTCAATAAATTAACATCTTTTCAAAATTGTTTTCCTCTTTCACGGCGTTCTTTCCGGATTCATAAGCGGGTGAGTGCGACGAGTTCAGTTTGTTTGTTAAGCAAATAATGTGTGTAGTCAAGTATTCCAAGGCTACATTAAGCCACTTATTTACTCACCGAATGTGAATCTTTCTTTTCATGTTCACCTAACATCCTCATCCGAACTGATATAACAGATTGTGAGTAACCATGCTTAAACGATCATTTATCAGTACGCAGGATAAGGGGTCGATAAGGATGGTTGAACAAACGAATGGATCTTAATAGGGGAATTCAGACAGGATACTCTTCTCTGAGTATCGTTAGATTGGTTATAGCGGGTTTCGCCCATAACGAGTTTCGCACATATCGTTTCGCCCAGAACGAGAATGGTTTCGCCCAGAACAATAAAGGTTTCGCCCATAAGTAAAACTTCTACACTCTCACTCGGAAAACGTCAACCTTATAAACGTTTGTATGCACAGAATGAAGAAAAGTGACTTGACCTGAGATCATGAAATTTTGAAACAAACAAGTCAATTATAGCTTTCACTGTGGAGCGGGGATTGTTAAGGTAATTCGCGCACGAAATACTGCAGAGACGTCCGTTTGTCGTAAAAGCATTGCTATGATTTTTTTGCATCACTTTTCTTCTCGAGAATTAAATTAAACGCTTTTGAAAACACTTGCGCGTGGAACATATCATCGTTGCAAATCTTTTGTACACGGAAGATAAGTTCCGCACGCCAGCTTATGAATACATGTGAATACGGTTTCGTGAATACTAAAACAAAGGAATCGAAAGTTAAAGATTGTATTTCTGACATAGGTAACGGCAACATATAATTGGAAAAGCGATAGAAACTAGTCAAGTTCATGAGTGCGCGCGCGTGGAATAGCTTTACTACTCCGACGAAGCGTGCGGTACGAAAGCTTTAACTTAAAGGAAATTACCGTCTTGCACAAAAAATCTCAATCAAACCTTATCAATAGAATTTGAAAAGCTTACTCTTGCAAAAATATCTCACCTGTTCGCTTATCAATAGATTTTCACTCTTTAAAAAAAAAAAATCTCACCTTTTCACTAGTCAATAGAACTTGAAAAGAACCGTTGTTTACTCTGGCCAAAAAAATCTCACCTTTTCACTTGTCAATAGAATTTGAAAAGAAAACTGAAGTTTACTTGGCACGCTATTGTTTCCAAAGTGAAGTCAAATGTAATTTGAATACCAATAGTAATTGTGTTGTTTATGAATAGACGTTTCACAAGCTCTGCTTTCGTTCTCAGACCTTTGCACAAATCACCACTGCACCTAACCCACAATCGAAATTCTGCGGTTTTTAGCTCTTCAGGCTTTCGACCAAGGACAGAAGCACGTGGAATATCATCTTACGTGCGCAATTTCGCATTTGAAGAGTTATTTTGTAGACCACTTGAGGAGGACGCCATACTGCAATAAATAAACGCCACGCATCGAGGCCTGTCCGACCTCGTTTTCGTGCTAGTATTCCCAGGCCCCGCGCTACGTCCGCCATTACGAAAGTCGTGTATGAACATTGTATGAACAGAAAACAAAAGCCCGGTTACCGGGCTCATCTAAAGCATATGTCTAAAGAGGCCCTTAGCCTGGATAATCACTGACTGTCAGTCTGGGCGAATCGAATTTATGCCTGGGCGAAACCATTCTCGTTATGGGCGAAACGCTTCTTGGGCGAAACTCGTTATGGGCGAAACCCGCGGATACCGTTAGATTTATGGACAAAGATGTTGCATAGAAATAAAACTTTTAATTGTTATAAAAATTGAATTTCAACGTTTCAGGCTTCGGCCATCAACTGGTAAAACTTTTACAATAAAGTTGAAAATCAAATATTGAAAACGTTAAAATCCTAGTTTGTTTCTTTTAACATTTTTGCACAATCATCCATTTGAGCAACCCAAAACAGTGTCATTTTCCCTGGCTTCATAACATAATAAATCCGTGACAGATGTTGAGAGAACACGAATGAGGCTTATCAATAGGGAGCTGTAGGTTGGGTGATTTTTAAGCTTCAAGCCATCAATCCTTTTTAACCTGGAGATGTTAGTTCAAAGTCTCCTTGGAAATTAGAAACTGGGGATATCGACACTAATAATTACGTATTTTGGTATCCTTTTTGAAAAGCAACAGATTAATGCAGCAAAGGAAGTAAAGAGCATAGGTAGAGTGATAATATGACATATGACCCTGTGCGCACAACTTATTGTTTTCAAAGGTTGTATGGCGTGGTCATCTTGGAGTGGCGTCTGCGAAGAATGCAACGAGTACCGGGAAAGAGTCGGTAAGTGACAAGAGGGAGTTTTGGTGAATTTGTGACTCACAAGTGCAATGGCGGGTTTTCGCCATTGTTTTACAACTTCAAAAACTATACAGCATTTATAAACTTTTATTCAAATGGATAAACTCTTATGTATAGATTGTAATGATAATTAGGCAGGAACCTTCAGAAGTTATTTTCAAGGGATGTTTTCTTTAATAGAAATAAGATGACTTCATCTCCAACCGTTTATTACTTTTAAAAAATTATCTGGATAACCTTACTTCTAGAATTTGACTCCTCAAGAACTCGGGAATCACGGCCTTGTAAATGTAAGTAGTTTTTTGAATGAGAAGAAAGTAAAGGACCCATCTTTTGGTCGAAAATGCTGTACAGATATCCCTCAACTGTTCTTTTATTAACTTCCAACTCTGTAAAATACACTTTGTTTTTACCAACCGAGTTAGTAATGTAGATTGGCCACCGTAAGTAGTTCCCAAGCTGATGTCTCGAGTATTAGCTCAGACGAAGGGCTAACGGTCGAAACGTCAGCTAAGAAAATCTTTACGGTGGCCAATTTAAATTTAAATTAACCCTTAGCTCAAAAGTCAGTCGGTTACCTCTAAATCATCGCCTTAGTTTAAATGCTCTTTAAGCGGCTTCCCTACACCTGAGATACTTTGGACTAAGGATGGGTTGAATCTTGGTAACAACAACATTCTCACGATTGATCAAGTGAATTATGGAAATCCTGGTCAATAACATGCAGCGCTAAAAAAGTGAAGGGAAAAAATGAATCAGCTTTTTATATTTCGGTGACCGGTAAATGTTGACTTACTTTTGTTTCCTTCTGTTGCTCTTCTCATTTTCTAATGTTTTTTTCGCATACTTTCGCCTTTTTTTAATTCTTCTAATTCTTCTATGCCCAGGTCCTCCTGGAACTAATCCTGAGCTCAAGAATCAGTCTGTTACATATAATTCATCACTTCAGTTCAAATGCTCATTAAGCGGTTTCCCGACACCTGAGATACTCTGGACTAAGGATGGGGTGAATCTCACTAACAACAATACCCTCACCATTCGTCAAGCGCGATTGGAAGACTCTGGCAAATACACATGCAGCGCCGAAAATATCGAGGGGAGCAGAAACTCAACTTTCTGGATCGAAGTGGCGGGAGGTACGGTTTTCATTTACATATAGAAAGAGCTGAAGTCGCGGACCAATTTAAATCTTTAGTTAGATGATCCTGGTCAATAACATGCAGCGCTAAAAAAGTGAAGGGAAAAATGAATTAGCTTTTCATTTTACGGGGACAGGTACATGTTGCCTTACTTTTGTTTCCTTCTGTTGCTCTTCTCATTTTCTAATGTTTTTTTTCGCATACTTTCGCCTTTTTTTAATTCTTCTTGTTAATTCTATGCCCAGATCCTCCTGGAACTAATCCTGAGCTCAAGAATCAGTCTGTTACATATAATTCATCGCTTCAGTTCAAATGCTCATTAAGCGGTTTCCCGACACCTGAGATACTCTGGACTAAGGATGGGGTGAATCTCACTAACAACAATACCCTCACCATTCGTCAAGCGCGATTGGAAGACTCTGGCAAATACACATGCAGCGCCGAAAATATCGAGGGGAGCAGAAACTCAACTTTCTGGATCGAAGTGGTGGGAGGTACGGTTTTCATTAACATATAGAAAGAGCTGAAGTCGCGGACCAATTTAAATCTTTAGTTAGATGAGAAAAAAAAATCGATTCTCTGGTAACAAATCAGATTTAAGGACTTGAAACTGCACAAAGTTCAAAACTGATTAAAAATAATAAAAAAGTACTAAATTGATGATAACATTTAAAGAGCGAGAACATGCCAAAGTATATATCAAATCTAAATGAATTTCGTAATCAGACACATGTAATTAATTTTTGTGCAGTTTAAACTGATCGCTTTTTGGAGCGTCGAGCAATTTTGACTTTATAGATATCACCATATTTTGTCACGGCATTTATAAGTGGTAAAAGTGTACGCGTCACAGTATGCCAAAGCGGCTATCAATGCCTTAGTTTCTAAGTATTTATTATTGAAGTTGGAAAGCGATTTTGTAGAAACATCCATGTAAACTTTTCGTTGAGTTGAAATTTGAAAAATCAGCGACCACAACTGCAAAGAAATACATGAAAATAATACCGCTCTTACGTCGTTATGAACTTGTACTCTTGCTACAACGGACAATCTGCGTGTTTAAAATGACAGATTTAACGTAATGTTTTCATAGAATGCAAACATTTTGATCATTATCATCTGGCTATTCTTCAAAGTAAATGTGTAGTTTGAACTTAGAGAAACTGGTACTGTTTGGACATGGTAGCACGGGGTGTTGATATTACACCTAAAACTAGTAAGAAAATTACGAAGAAATTAATAAATAGGTAACTAAATAGGTAACTACCTCCTGGGCTGCTGCAAGCATAGGAAATCTTTTAAGGAAAGAAAAGAATGTTTTGATGTCGCGTTGGGCTGACTTATACCTTCCTATATCAAAAGTGAAGAAAACTGATTGCATAATAAACTTGGATTAAAAATAGGCTGGGCAATAACGTAGTTTGCTTTCATTTTGAAACTAGTTAATTTAGGGTTGGATAAGGGAGGGGGGAGAGGGGGTTAAAATGGAAAATGCGACCCTTTGTTTAGCTTGGTGATCTTTTTACTTCAAGTCTCTCCCCAGATCATTGAGCCTCCGAAAAGCCAATCTGTTATAGAAGGATACCCTGTAAACTTTAGTTGCGTAGCCTCAGGTATTCCAACACCAACCTTCGTCTGGACTTTTAATAATGGTGACCTGCCATCTGGTATCAATCAAACCGATCACGAAGAAGAATCACTCCTAGTTTCGCCAAGTGTCACGAAAGGGTTGAATGGGACTTACAAGTGTACAGCAAAAAACAAAGCAAACACAACCAGTTCCTCAGCAACTCTGCGTGTTTATGGTAAGTTCAGTTATAATGATATTGATAAGGATAATGATGATGATGATGATGGTAACGACGACGACGATGACGTTGATAATGACGATGATAATGTTGAAGATGAAGAACAGAAATAGGGAGAGAAGAAATTCAGACAGAAAAATGAACTTGTAAATCCATGGGCAATGGCGACTGAGAAAAGGAATAGCGCAAAGAGAATTTAGGCAAACTCGGTCCATTTTTAGAGAAGGCAGATCACGCTATCTAACGGTTAAATATTTATCCGGTCAATGTGTGATGGAAAAACGTAAAGCGTTATCCACCAGATAGAGTTTTATTTTGTGGATAGTGTTATCTACCCTTCAAACGACCGGGGTCTGACCTTCAAAAAACGGATGATACCAATGCTTAACACTAATGTCCTTGGATATTTATGATTACAAACGCAAAGGGCTGCGTAGATCTGAGGAGGAAAGAAACGCCAAGGAAAAAGGACAGGTGATGGCGCTATAGAGAGTTGATTGGTTCGAAATACTTGACGATATGCAATGTACTTCCATGCTGGAAAAATCTGAAGAAGAGACTTACGAGACGGAGAGATCCAGAATCTCAGAAGAAAGCAAAAACGAAGCAAGACGCAAAAGCCAAAGTTACATACGACACATAATTGGTATTCTCTAAATTTAACAACAAAACTAAAACAGAGGAAACTACTTAATTAAAGCGAATACGCTTCTATCTGTGACCGAAATCGGAGGTCGAATAGCGATTAAGCATTTGAAAGAATTCCCTCACACCCTCAATTCTCTTAGATCTCTCTATAAAATTGATTTATGGCTTTTGTAATTCGTAATGTGACTCAGCCAATGAGGATGGAGAATATCACAGAGTCAAGATTTACGGATTTACACGCTGAAAAAGTATAAAATAAAATTTTCTTCCCAAGCTGGTCCAAGGAGCGGAGAGCCAATCAAATTACTTACAAAAGATGACGGAGGAACCTCTGTGGAGAGTTATGCGGAATAGAAAGTATGCAGAGCAAAAAGAGATAGAGAAAACAGCGAGTCGGTTTGTACCAGAAATCTCATTGGTTCACTGCGCACACCTGTTCGATTTCCGATACTACCAACTCGTGCGTAAAATACCATACGGACAGACTTTCCATGAAGTATTCTCTATCGATTGAATTGTCATGACAGCTCTTGATTCTAGTTCCGTCTATGATATCCACAATTTTTCCATGGAAATTTAACAGTGTCAGCTTGAGAAAATATTGTAAGTCCACTCGAGAAAATGTAGTAAGTCCACTCTCCTCAGAAAGTGATGGAAAACCACCTAATGAAGTTGTTGTAGTACTTTAGAATTTAGAGAAACGATAATCTACTTGAAATCACACCCGCTACCGAAACTTCGTGTTGCATGACTCACTTGTTGTGTCCTTTTGACACAAGGGCGCAGAAGAAAGAACAAGAGAAGATGGAACATTATCAAGACCTTAATTTAGAAGTTCAGCGGAGGATCTGGGGCGGTTGAAAGTATAACCAGGAAATTTAAAACATAAGGGCTTCAAGCTTGTTCTGAAACTCTTTTGAAACCTCACGAAACTCACAAGGAAACACTTTTCTTTTTTTTTTTTTCATTTAAAGCAACCTGTTCGAAGCATTCCTATAAAAGATCGCATTTGACTCGTTTCGTTTCCATGTTTTTTTTTGGAGTGTTTCTAATGCAGTTGAAGTTTTAATGTGACACTAGCATTCTAACGAATTGCCCTTTTTCAACGCAGGAAAAGCCTCTGCTCAAGTTGTTACAGACACAAACCCAACACTTACCAAAGGAGATGCCCTGGAGTTGACCTGCAAAGTCAACAAAGAAACAATAAGTATAAAGTGGAAGAAAGATGGAGACCCAATAACAGAAAGAGCAATTATAGATACCCGATTAGATGAGAAAAAGAGTAAACTGGCTCTTACTAGCGTTCTGGAAGAGGACAGTGGTGAATATTCTTGTGAAGCACGTAACAAGCCAGGAACTGTGGCTCGCTCTGTTGTGACAATAAATGTCAAAGGTAAGTTTTTTAAGGAACTACATATTATATCAGTTATTAACCATGTAAGGTCGTTATTATAAAGTACACGTCTGCCTTTTATGTTCCTCACAAACTTTTCCAGAGGTTTTTTGGTCTTCTGGGAACTAGAAATTTGAAAGGAATTAAATTTGAAAGAAATTTAAAAAACTGTTTCAAAGCGAATTTGAAACAGTAGCAGTATGTTAAACATATTCTATAATTCTTTCACCAATCTTTCTCTTTCTGTCTGCCTGTTTTTGTAAATCAACACATCTGCGTCTGTTTTCTCAAAGGTTATTCCCGGCCACCCAACGCGAGCAATAAACAACGTAAATTGTTGGAACAAAAAAAAGTTAGCTCTCTATCTCGGTAGCTGGTGATATTAATTTTTATTTTTAATGCCGATCAGCAAATTACTTTCCTACCAAGCTTCTTCTATTATTGTATTTCAGGAAATTCAGAGGCTCCCTCCAGCAGCTCACCTCCCTCCAGTAGCTCACCTCCCTCCAGCAGCTCACTGGAGTGGTACTACATTGCGGGACCTTTGGCTGCTGTCGTTTTTCTACTGGCGTTCATTTCATACATTAAAAAACGCCGTGCGACAGGTAAAATGTTACCATACGAAAATAAAATGTCTTCATATGGCAGATTGTGGTTTTTAATACGTCTGTGTCTTGGAGCACGAAGGAGCTATTTTAAGCAGGTCATATTCTGCATTTCCAGCACCGATTTTGAAGGTCCCTCTACAGTCCCGGCTAAGCTCATTACTAATCAAATTACAAAAACGTTACAAATTATATGAAACTAATCACCATGATGACCCACCTTATTCCTTCTCCTGTTGTTTGACAACAAAGTCAAATATAAGTTACACGTGGTTTCTGAGTCGCAAGCTTTAACTTAGTTAATGACGTCATTCTTACTCACAACGAAGCGATTTCTTTCATCTCTTTCCACATATCCTTTGATAATAGCCCCACCTGAGGTGCCACCCAGGCTGCAGTAAGTGAATTGTCTTTTTTTTTTTTTTGACGCTCACTGTTTGAAGGTGTGGTTATTTCCGAAGTTTCTAACTCTTGAATAAGTTTTAGTAGAGTAGTGATAAGTGTCACTGCTGAGCAAATACGTCTTTTTTATCAGTTTGGACCAATTATATTCACCATTAAGAGCACACTGGCCAAAATAAAAGGTTTTTCTTTCGAAACAGCTGCAGTTTCGAAGAGATTCTTATCAAATGGCAGTCAAATGTTTTCTAATATTCTTTCTGTTTTGGATTCGTTCGTCCTTCAGTTGTTTTAACACCTTGTTTAGTATCTTTTTTTTGTTATCAATATGCATGGTTGTGGGTGGCGTACTTTTAAAGAAGAAGAGAAGCTTTGACCCTTCGTCACTTTTTGTTAGAGAAACTACAGTTGAAATACACCCGGAGTCTTGTAGACCGATTCAAAATACCACTCGATATATCGATTGTAGACAATACTTCGGATGGTTTGGTTAGTATTTTATTTCTCGCGTAGGAGGCACGATATTTATATGATGTAAAATGCCGAAAAACAGTCAGGTTAGGTTATTTTGAGGTTATCTTCTATCTTTATTCAATTTTTTTTCAATAAAATCTCCTCTCTGGGTCGATGCGTCGAAAAAAACCGGTTCAGTAAATTAGCATCCAAATTTCACCTATTTCAATAATTTTTCATCGGCAAGTGATAATTTTCTGAAGCACCCGGAAATGAAATGATAAGAAAAATAATTTAAAATGAAGATAGAGAGGATATCTTTACCACGTTATGTTAAACCAGATTCAAAGAAGGAAAAGATAGATAGGTAACACAGATAGTTAAAGTCTTGTTTTTATCTGCAATTATTCAGTGAAGGGGAAGATGAAGTTGAGATGGATCAACTGAACGCAAACACAGACGGATGGGAGATTGCAGCTGACCGCCTGAACCTTCGTGAGCATATTGGCAAAGAGGCATTTGGTTCAGTGTGGCGAGCGCTACTGGGTCGTTCTCGTGGCAGACCTGGAAATCGCACAGTTGCTGTGAAATGCTACCTACGTAAGTACTTTTTCAGATCTTTCTTTCATACAAAGCTTGATTGAAATATCCTTTATTAATTTTTTTGAGTAATTTATCCTAATAAAGAGTATTTTCCTTAGAACATGATTTATTAACCTACCTGATACATAACATGGATAGCTTAAAAACTATGCGCTGTTCAAATGATTTATCAGCTGGCATGTCAAATTAATTGTTAGCGGATGGTTCCCGGGGGGACCAGTTGTTAATCTTTTGTCATACAACGCTACTAAAATAGAACAGAACACGAATATCATTTGGAGTATTAGAAGCTGAGGAGAAAAATGAAAATTTATCGATTAAATTGCATTCAAGTGCATACTAAAAATGTCACTCCGTCGTATATTTTGCAAAGTTGCCCACTTTGATGGGAAATAATGTCATGAGATCTCAAAGAAACCTTGAGAGGGTGAGTCTAGCGAAAAAAACTCGGAGCCATTTGCCAGTCTAGTGGTGGTAGTATGATCTTCTTGCGCTAGACAAGCTGAAAATCACAATGCAGTAGAACCTGTATTAAGCGGTCACCTTGTAATAAGCGGTCAGTTTTGAAAGTCCCCAAACTTTCCTCCTTTACTTATGGTACTTTTTATATCAAGCGGTTGTAGTCACCTTTTACTAAGTCCCAACAGCCTATTTGTAATGTTCCCCACTTTTATTGAACGGTCACTAAAGCGGAAGTACTCAAATAAAATTAAGAATAATCTTTCAAGTAAAATTTAATCCATGTTTATCTCCCGAAATCAATGTTAGGAATATTTTTGAGCGAGGTTGTGTATGTTAAGTGGTCCGTGATGGCATAGAGTGGCATTTTTTAAACTTTTATCAATAGTAGCCCTATTCCGTGGAACCTATATTCAACGGTCAACCATCCCCGCGCGTGACCGCTAAATACAGGTTCGACTGTAACAAACTTACAGAGTCAAATGAATTTATAATAACTCTGGGAATGCTTACGAATTATTGTAGCTTTTAGTAAGATAAAAGCAAGGATTATCTAATTTATGACCTGTAGGAAACAAGAAGGCGCAAACAGAGCATGTATTTAAAAAAAACTGTCTCAAATATATATTCGATTGACTGTTAGGTATTATAACAGATGGAATTTCTAGGCTTAATTGCGTCTCTACTTTTGTAAGTTATCTGTAAACAATTGCACGGTTCAATGGGCTTGCCTAGTTAACAACAATGCTTGAGATGCGCAGCGTTTTCTTAGCAAATATTTTTTTCAAGGAGGATGAATCTATTTTGGAAATTTCATGTTCAATAAATTGAACAATACGGCTAACTGACATTTTTGTGGCAATTATGGATTATATGGAGTTTAGTAAACTAATTTTTTTTTTTTTATGTAGACCAAATCCCTTATAATTTGCGCTGGTAAGATAACACCAAGCATACAACAATTCCAGATGTGGATGTTTACCACACAATTAATTGTGTCTCTCTTGACATGCAAAGGTTGTTTGTTTATCTAATTTTTGTGTGGTTTCCTAGCAATCTCCGGAGAGAAAGGAAGGAAGGCCCTGCTGAGAGAGATCGAGTTATTAAAACTCTTTGGAAGGGAGGGCCATGAAAATGTTGTTAAGTTCATTGGTTGTGTCACAGTTGGAGGTAATCAACTATTGTTATGATTATAATCAGCTAATTCACAGCAACGATAGAAACATCTCTGAGTTCAACCACTGGTACAATTACTTCTATCAGTATTCTTAGTCCTTGCTAAGATGGTGTACTAATTCAATGGTTATTTTCAATTTTTGACTGTTTTAAATGAATTTACTTCGCATTGTATGAGGGGCATTTTACTTGGAAGATGTTAGCTCTAAAATCTACATGTTAATTGTAATAAAAACTTCAACTTACGATGGCAAGTCTTTGTCTATTTATCTGCCATCTCTGTTTTTTCTGTCTGTCTGTCTGTAGATTTCTATCGGCCGTATTTGTCCGTCTATTTTCTATCTGTGTGTTTTCTTCTTTCACTTTCCCTCTCTGTCTCTACTTTGATTCATTATAGATATAACTTGAGGTATGACTAGATAAAGCATGTACAATTCAAACACGTTTTGGAACTTCTGCACTGCTTGCCGTAAAATAATTTTCTTGTTTTTCCCTTTTAGCTCAGCCAATACTTATTATGGAGTACCTGTGGCGAGGTGACTTGCTGGGTTATCTCAGAAAATCCAGGGGGGTTTTCGACCAATATCATCATGGGGTCGGAATTGTCGACCACTTGACAACATATGACATGGTGCTGTTTGCTAAACAGATCGCACATGGTATGACTTTCCTCGCGTCCAGAGGGGTAAGTGCTCTAACTCTTTCTGGTTAGCATGTGGTCCTGCATGTGATAAAATGGCATGACTTGCAAATCGTCAAAGTTATACTCCATACGGCTAAAAATATCCAGCAGATTAGAGTCACTATTTCACAGAGAAATGGTCTGACATTAGCATGATGTTAAACTTTCTACCTATATTTTACTTTTTTATTTTATGTAGTTTATAAAAGTCCCTTTTAGCAGATCATATAATATTTGTTTTCGATTTCAGATAATTCATCGCGATCTTGCAGCTCGTAACATCCTTCTTGATGAGCATCGTGTCTGCAAGTTGACTGACTTTGGGCTCTCTTATCAGGATTTCAAATACGGCCCAGGAAATGCCAAGAAGGTAATTTTCAGGATTTTTTCATCATTTAGTCAATTGGTTTTGGGGCTGCTGGTATGGAAGATAAAAATGTGAAGAATTAAAATATTACTGTCCTTACAAACCTTTCTTTTCAGTTATACAGTCTTACTGCAAAACATATTTCCCTTTAATGGGAAGCCATTCTTAGCGTATCGAAGCTTTCACAGAAAAAAAAGAATGAACACAGGAAATAAGAAAGCCGGAAGAGATATCGCTCTCTGAATAACAAAGATACAAACTCGAAGGGCAAAGTAACAGAAAAATTTAAAGCAAAAGGAATGTGTGAATTGTTTTCATAGAATTTGTACAAAGGCGTCTACTGCTATTGACTTTATCGTGAATCCTCACATCACGGTTTTAATCTTATATGCAAATTATTTTAGGAGCTGTATACAAGCCTCTTTAGATTTCAGATGTTTATAATATTTTGGTTACTCATCCAGGGATGTATCCCAATCAAATGGACTGCACCCGAGATTCTCTTTGGACATGTGGAACAACTGTCAACCAAAAGCGATGTGTACGTACTGTATTGGTTATTATCTACATATATTCCATAAGTGAATATTTTTTACGATTCTACCTTAACGTAGCGAGGGAAACTAGAATATTCAGTGCTCTACTGATTAGAGGGTCATTAGGAAACGTCAAGCTGGAAAACAGCTGAGGTTACAGCTGTAGTTTGAGACTTTATATGAAGTATATATATGAAGTATATATTTATATGAAGTTTATAGTATCCAAATTCTGATTAGGACAAGAAAAGACGGATGAAAGGATGAGTGGATAATTAAACTAATAAATATGGCGTTTTCTCTCAGAGAGGTTGATTATATCTTGATGGCATGTTTCTAAACATCCCAAGTATCTGAGTAATTATTATCTTTCTACCCCAGTTGAGATATATCGTCATCCTTCCATTTCTTTGACAGGTGGTCCTACGGCATCGTCTTGTATGAAATCTTCACTGTCGGTACTTAACTTATTTGTTACTTTATATTCAGGAAATATACCTGCCGAAATTGCACGCATAATTACTAACTGATGAGTGATACCGAGCGGACAAAAGAGCATTGTACAATAGAGAAGTAGAAGCAATACTCAATGTCGCTGATAAATAAAATTATGACGATGCATAACAACTTGACATAAAGCTTAAGTTTAAGTAGAACTGTATTTAGTACATAATTGAAAAGCCTTAAATCCATCGCTACACTTAAATTTGTTTTTTTTTTTACAGTACTCTTTCATCTGATGTAAAACCGAAATGTGTTTCAGCAAACAATTGTCGTTTTCTCAGAAGAATCATTTCGATCGCGCTGAGAGGAATGAAAGTGATTACAACAAAAAAAGTATGCTTTTCTGACAAACAGAAAAAAACATTATTTTTTCACAGGAGGCATTCCTTACGAAGGATGGTCTCAATCCACGACAATGAAAAAAATCGAAGAAGGTTATCGTCTGCCAAAGCCTGAACATATCGACGACAGTTTGTAAGTGTTGTTTCCTCTGTGTGGAATGTTATAGGAGTCAAAAGCAATATCGATTGCTGCTGTGGTCAGGTGTTTTTGATACACTCGCTCTGAATAAGTAGCCTTCCTAAGAAATTAATTTTATCTTTTCAGTACAAAAATTAAAATGAAAAGTTGTTGAGTCAAATAAAGAATACGGTGGGTTTTTCATCACAGAATTCGTTTGAGCTGCAATGTAATGAGATAAACTTAGCATTTCACTTATTTTAGTAACTAACTGTGGTTTCTCAACTTTGCTACTTGCAATATTAATGTCTATCGCGGAATTACTGTGATCATACGTCCTTGTGTTTTTCGATAGATACGCGGTTATGTTAAACTGCTGGAAATACGAAAGCGCCAGCCGGCCACACTTTGTGAAGCTCTATCAAACAATGGATACATATATTAAAACAAAGGTTTGCCATACAGTGTCTAATTCAGGATATATTTCAGCAATTGAAATCGGTATCCTACCAAGTCAATTGCGAATTTCTTTTCTCGTCAATAGTGTGATGTCAAAACGCATTAACTACCCAGCCGCTAACAATTTGTGATTTCAGTTTCATCATGAACCAATGTTACTTTTAAACATACGCTAGTGAGGTTACTTTTAAACATACGCAAGTGTGGTTACGTCATGTCAGTCTGGATCATCCTTATTTTCCCTCTGTTGTCTACACACAAGAAAGAACGGAACAGATCTTAAAATAACACTTTTGGAAAACTTTGACAGAAAGGAAGACCTTACCTGGCTTTTATTCTTATCAATTCATGCAAGTACTAATGGTTCTTGTCTTTGTGATTGATATCTGATCTGCTCTTTTTTTTCTTTTTAGTGACTCATTTTTGGAATTTCTTTGTTGAATTTTTGAAATTCATTCGTTCAAGATTTTTTAACTCATGCAGTTCCTGATTACCTTCTAATCTTTTTCATAGACATATGTAGATATCTTTGACGATGACAAGTATGATCAGGATAAGTACAACTTTGTCGATGACCGTGGAGCTGTTGCAAACCCAGAAGATGCAGACCCGGATGAGCTTGGAGCAGCTGCAGCAAATCCCATCGGTGAGGTGGGTGAACACGGTGCTACAGCACATCCCTTTCTTGTTGCAGTGGACGATGATGCTACAGCTTTCCCTCTTGGAATTAACGTAGGAGACGAAGGAGCACCTGCAACAGATCCCGACCGTGAAGTGGGTGAACACGGTGCCACGGCACATCCATTGTGATTGCTATAAACGATGGTGCTCAAGCTTTCCCTTTCGCTATTAACGTACCAGAGAAAGGGGCAGCTGCAGCAAATCTCTCCCATGAAGTGGGTAAGCACGGTGCTGCTGCACATCCCTTTGTGGTTGCAATTGACGATGGTGCTACAGCTTTCCCTTTCGCTATTAACGTACCAGAGGAAGGGGCAGCTGCAGCAAATCTCGCCCATGAAGTGGGTAAGCACGGTGCTGCTGCACATCCCTTTGTGGTTGCAATTGACGATGGTGCTACAGCTTTCCCCTTCGCTATTAACTTACAAGACAAAGGGGCAGCTGCAGGAAATCTCGCCCGTGAAGTGGGTAAGCACGGTGCTACCGCACGTCCCTCTATGGTTGGAATTGACGTTGGTTCTACAGCTTTCCCTCTCGGAATCAAAGTAGAAGAAGAGGGTTGCGCAGCATACCCTTTTGAGAGTGATAAGAAAGATATGGATGCCCAAGCGTACCCTTTGGAGAGTGATACTTTACCATACCTTAGCGAGAACGAGGAAGAAGATGTTGATGACTCCGAGTTCCCTCTTGCGATTGAGGAAGAACAAATTGATCCTTTACCATCCTCCCTGGTGATAGACGAAGACGGTCTAGCTGCTTCAGCATGTCCCCTTGTGACTGACGAAGAAAATTCTGATTCTTTAGCATGCCCCCTTGTGGTTGAGGAAGAAGATTCCAATAACTCAGCATGCTCCCCTGTACTTGGGGAAGAAGATTTGGAAGCCACAGAATGCCTTTCTGTTACTGAAAAAGAAGATCCTACCTCTTTCGCACGCTCCGCAAATGAGGCGAACAAACCCGATGCGTCACCATTCTCTTGTGTGATCGAAGAGGAAGATCTTGATTCTTTAGAATACAATCCTCTGATCGAAATAGAAGGCCTCAGTGATTTCGTCTTCCCTTCAGAAATTCAAACTAATGACGAAGAAGGTGTAACAAGTAAACCTGAAAATACCGTTGGTTATGAAGGTGCTGAAGCAGTTCAATCTGAAAAGGAGGCAGTAGAAGAAGAACCTAAGACTTGCCAACTAGAGTACAGGAAGGATGAACAAGACGATCTTGGAAACTATATGGACGACCAAAGTGATGCTGTAGACCTTTTTGACGGAGACGCTGGCGTACAAGAGTATGATGGTAATCAACTTACTGCTGCGGATATAGACGAAACTGGAAGTGACGAAGACGAGGAGTCATCTGAAGCAACTCCTCTTGTGCAGGACTGAGGCTTAATAGCAGAATTGCTGAACCTCTAAGGTTATAGTCTTGTAACACTCTGTAGTAATTTGTAGTTTATATTTCGAGAACTTCAGCCTCAATATTTCATAGTTTTTGATTTTAAGACGTAGGTTTTTTCGTACTTTTACTTTAGTAATGTTTTGGTAGTGATGATAACCATTTTCATAGTTTATAAATGGAGGTTAAGTGGAATTTCCTTCAAAGAAAAAAATTTGTTTATTTACTTCACTTTTGCATTTCTTAGTTTACCGTTTATTCACTTGGTGCACTTGTCAGTGCTTTGTTGATGTTATTGACTGTAGGCTGATAGAGACAAAAAAAAAAAACAAAAAAAAAAGAAATTGCTGTTAAGATAATTTTTATAACTGATCAAGTCAGAAATGCTGCGCAAGTTTGTGAGTGTTGTTCCTAGTATAAGTAATATTTCCTAATCTAATTAAGAATAATTTACTTGTTGTAAAGCACTCCCTAAATGCTTCAATAAACTTATTTAAGCTAAACTCGTTTCATTTACTCCATTCATTGCAGCAAAATTGCTGGTCTGGATCTAACTGTAGATTTGAAGGATACCATAAACTAAAATGACATCTGGCCTCCTTCAAAGAGTAAGATTGACGAAAATCCAGTAGCGCTGCGTTAGTTCTGATAAGTGTATATATTTTTCTATTCCCAGCTTACGCTCGCTTAGCAACCAGGAGTAGCATATCCTCAAAACATTATTAACCCAATACATTTTATCCTTTTTGTAGACAGCTACTGACTCAGCCGCCTTTTCAATCGAGTTCTCTATTCCAATTTGTTGATTAGATAGGCGGTATTAAGCTGATTAGTCTTGAATGTTGTTATTTCACATCACTGCTTCTAATCATTGTCTGAGAAAAGTGTTTTAGAAGTTTGAAACATAAATGACCCCATTGTGATGATTCTTAGTGCAGAAGTTGGCCCAAGGCAGATATTCCAAGTGCCAAGGAAGCATGATTTTTTTACTTTTTATCTCCACAGTTTAAGGCATTTTGGCGTCTAGGGATATTGTGTTTGAATATTGTGGACACTAATCGTACCTTCCTGGTGCACTATGTCAGGAAATATGTCGAGTTTAATCAAGCAATAGATGACGTTTTCGAGAAACACAGACGAGCTAATATAATAATGAATTCTCATTCAGTCATTTTCAGTTGTTTTTTTCACGAGCACTTACATATAACGCTGACATTGCCTAACCCATTACTTCAACTTTCATCTTGAGAAGTACTGTACTATGATTTTTAGAGAAATAGGCAACGGCAGTTATTTTCTTACTGTCCGTCGTCGTGTTTCTTGACACGAGCAAGGCCTTTGACAAAATAAACGAGGGCATTTCGGCGTGGCTTAGTTCATCATTAATCCATCTGCTTGAAAACAAGTAGCGCTCATAAATTCTGAGTCCCTGACTCTCTGGTCTTTGAATCCAGAATGACTTGTTTTGTTCAGAATTTATGTAAATGACTTTTTATATGCCCCTCAATCTTGTTTTACTGAATATTATTGGATGATACTAAACTTCAGATTTCTCTCCCAGTTCAAGGCTGGGCTAAGACAACATTTTTTTTCTGGGACAGGGAGCGTCCTTTAAATGAAAGTGAAATAAAACCACGATCGTCGATCAAAAGATCGGTGGTGACTCTGATGTCGATCTCAAAAATTTTGGTTTTTGCCTTTTTTCAGTATTTATCTCTTTGACTGTTCAATATGCTTATAAGGAAGTATTTATCGTTTAGATAGGGTTTTGAAATTTCTGCACACTAAATTAAATTAAATTTTTTTTTTATTTGAATCTCCCGAAAATCTGACATATTTCGATCCATATATAGATATAAGGAACCCGAAAGTAGTCACTAAAACGTTACTCCGCACATCCTACTCCATTCACCTCCAGGGGATTTGCGCCCAAAAATGTTGTGATTATTACAGGAATAAATTATTCAAAATCATCTTTTTGTATTATTTTATCTCACAGTATTAAATTATATACAAAAGCAAATATTCATCTAAGTGCCGGTGGCTAGGGGTAGATATTTACATCTCCGCTTGGCAGCTTGGTAAATATCCACCACTAGTTAACTCTACCTTGGTGAAGAGATAAGAAATAAACATTTGATAAACTTTCAATAGGGCGATTGGCATTGCAACTTATCGTAATAATGCGAACATTTCCGAGAAGCCAATGTTGGAAAATGGATCATTTTTCTATCCATATCTTGTAAAAATTAATGTCAATGAAGGAAATATGAATAAACTTGAAAGGTCTTGGCTGACCACCAACACCAGCACCTGTACAACAACAACTGAAGTGTGTCAATAATCATGTATTGTTACCCTTGGTGTTATCAAAACAAGCAGGCTGACATATCTGTCAACCAAAAACGGTTTATTTATGCGACTAAGAATAAAGTATTTGAAAGCCTAATGACCCAATTTGCCAGTCTTTAGCTAAATATTATAACAGCTATTGAGTCATTCATCACGCCCTTAAAACCAAGACTATTGCCAAAATGGCTTACAGTATATTCTAGAGCTCGTGTGAATGATTTATTCGTATTGCATCATTACACATTTTACACTATGTTTTTGGAAGCAGATGTGAACTGTTTGTGGAAAAAAATTTTGTTGAACATTGATAAGGGCTGAGACGACCGCTGGTGTTTTCATCATAAGTTTAATGTTCAAGAGAACTTAAAGTTTAGCTAAATCTCGTTTTTTATTATTCTCGAATTTAATAATACCAAAATATAAGCCATTTAATTACTAATCAGCCATTTTTGTGGCGTCCTCAATTTGTGAGATGTTTAATGTGGTCTTATTTGATATTCAAGCATGACGCATTTTAAAATAAAGGTTAGACATATTCATCTTGAGGTTTTTCCTCCTGATTGTGGGGGGAAAGTCAGCTGAAAGAGGCCAAAAATGCAAAAGAAAGCAGTGGTTCACTGTGACTGTATAAATAGAGAAGTCAGCAATAACTGCGGCGGCGAAAAAGGAAAAGAAAATAACAACCTTCCTTGTTTAAAAGTGCCGCCAGTAAGAGGACTAAAGGGGCCGCACAAATGTACGGGGTAGACTCTTTTAAGGTTTTATTCGACAAAGTTGCTTCGCACTTCGCTGAAAACGGTTTGTTCAGTCAAAATGCGAGATATTAGATTTACGTATGAGAGAACAGGGCATATCGAGCAAAGACAAGTCCACAATTAACGTTTATTATTAATTTTGTTTATGCATGGGCGATCTTTAAATAAATATTAGAAACCCGTCCAAAATAGATAGAAAGAATAAATTCTCAATAATATCTCATTGTATTTCATGGCAAAAAAAAGAGACTAATTGATGTTATGTCTTCCTCTTCTTCTTATTCTCCTTCCTGTAAAGAGAACACGGAAAAGAAAAAGAAATTTGTATTCCTCCTCATATTGCAATAGAGTTTTCGACTCTGTAAGTGCAATTACTTGTCAGCATTCAATGATTCCTTATTGATTAATATGAAAATTCGCAAAAAATTATTCTTTAAGGACACGGAAGTTTTTCCACAAAAATAAAGGCGACCTTGAATCACGAACAACAACAAAACGCCCTGGCTGTGTCCTTTACTGCCTTTCTCACTTCTGTGATTTTCCAACAGTAAAAGAAAGAGATTCAGAGATGAATTCAGATAAACTAAAGTTTCCGTAAAGAGCCACAGAGCATGAACTGCTGATCCACTAAGTACTGTATGTCTCAATATCGACACAGTTATAAAAGGGGTGTAGCATGCCACTAAAGCCAACTGCACCCAAAATATGCTGGAAACTGTTTTCTGATATTGTTTGATGTTTAGTTGAACTCTCCCGTTTAATCTTTGTTTGGATGAACCTTTTACTGTCCATGCACGTACTCTTCCCCTTCCTGTACCTTTTACTCCTGCTCCTTCTTCTGTGGCTGTTCTTGTCCCCGTTATTGCGCCTGCTTCATCTTTTCCTACTGCTATATCTTCTCCTGCGTTTGACCGTCCTTCGCCAGGGTTGTCTTCTACTTCAGCCTGGTACCGCTGTAATCTCAGGTGGATCTTTACGTAGCAAAACACGGAAGTAACCAGAGATACCACAACGGCCACAAAAGCAACAATCTCCGAAACCGTTTGACTCCAGACACGAACCAATCCGCACAAAACAGCAATTATCCAGCATAAAAGTATAACAGCTTGAGTTCGCTTTAGTGTCACAACTTGTCTGTATCTCAGCCTCAATAACAGAACAAGAAGTCTGTCAACACTGATGGCTGTTGATATCAGTACAGTCACTCCAAACAAAACATAGTTGGATATACAAACAACCTCTTCGACGTAATACAAAATATCTATGTCGGTGTTACCAAGATAAATGTAAAGAAATAAAAGTTACGAACAGAGGTTGTGAAAATAGATCCACACAAATATCGGTAGTGGCTAGACATTCAAACAAGACCTTTGCAGCGGGATGCAAAGAGGACACTTTATAAAATGTTAATAGAAGCAGAGCATTACCAAGAGATGCAGTGAAGGAGATCACAATGTTGAAAGCGAGGAGAAATGCTACTACTCCAATTGGTAATTGTGAAGATAACTGGCTTGTGAGGGTCGCCATTGGCGCTCACGTTCAGACTTGTGGCTCTGTCTTTCCCTCTTTTGGCAGGAAATGAACGTTTATTGGGCGATCCGTAATCGATATAAGAGTATTATTGTTTTGTTGAGAATTTTAGCAGTTTCTATTGGATAAAAAATTCCTCCTGTTGTCTGATTTTACGATGACAAATGTCACAACTATCATTAGACTTGTTTTTAACTCTTTCGTGTTTTATTCAAATTCTTCGAATTTTCATCATGTTTAGTGAGCGGGTGCTACATTTATTTAACAAACTAAATGACGTAGAATCTGCGAGTTATTTTTCACCGATACTATGTAGAGCTTCCTCAACATGTCAGCTTTTCTTTCCAGTTCTTGACCCATGTGTGTCTTTGTCCATCTTAGCTATGCTTGTTTTGTTTTTAAGGTAACATATTTGTGGTTCCTTTATGATGAGCAAGTGCTTTTTAGATAAAAAAAAAAATTTGCATAATATACTGATGTTTAAGAACATTGAGGTCAATTCTCATAAAATAAAGGCATCCTTGAGCTATAAACAACAACAAAACGCTCTGATTGTCTTCTTTACTGCAATTCTCACTCCTCTGAACTTCCAGCAATAAAGAAAGAGATTCAAATTTAATTTAATGTTATCAACTGAGATAAAGTAAACTGGCTACCGTATGCCAGTTCCCTATTATTCGTAACAGAAAAATTAATTACTTTGCCGCGAGTGTGTTCCCTAAATTCAGAACTCATTAGCGAGAGCCAATTTGCCGGCACGTCATTATCAATTATCAATTCGGGCAGGATTAGCTGATCCAATACTAAATTATCCGAAGTAACATTAAAAGAATTCTATGGTTGACAGTAAGGAGAATTACAAATTTGATCTGGGAGTTGAAGAGTTAAAGTAGTGTTTTTCAAGAGGGATGAATGTGGTAGAGTATCTAAAGTTTCGTTTACACAATAGACAGAATTGGTGTCGAATTGTTCATTAGTCGTAGGAGCGCCAGCGACCCAGAGAAAATCGAGAGTCGGAGTCGTAAGTGGAGCCCAAAGCTTGACGAAATAGGAGTTGGAATATTCCGAGCAATTTCTTTTCTTCCGATTCCGCTAAGAACTCCAACGCTTATGATCCAGTGAAAACTAGATTGTCGGAATCACAGGCAATGCCAGTTCTTAACTGAGCTAACCGATGGCTCAAAACTCCAACAATTTATTTTTCACATGTCATTAGCGAAGGAGTCATAAGTGGCATTAGTATTTTGCTTCTGATTCTTTGGTTTGATTTCACAAGGTCATATCGCTCTGCTCTTTTTTTTTCTTTAGAAGTCGATCCAAGTTGATAATGAAGGAGAGACAAATTTGTTTGTTTGTGAAGTCTCTTCGAAAATTCAACATCCGTTTTCAACGCTAAGCTGATTGTTCTGCACTGCAAAAAAATATTTGAGGGATAAAAAGCAAAAGAATACGTCCTCAATTTGGCTCTAATATATACACGTATATTTTGTCTTTAAACATGATCCGTTCCTAAAAGCACACAGTTTTCCTCAAGCTTTACTCTCCGAAAATTCTTGGCCTCTCTAGACAAAATAAATGTCCACCAAAAAAAATTACGAGCATATTTTTACACTAAACAGAGGCTACTGTTTAATAGTCGGTCCTCGCTCAAACTTAAGTTTCGAAATTATCCTTCAGATTGAGTACACGTTTCTCACAAGCTTCCCACAAACTTCAGTGGAGAAAGTCTTACAGTTCTTCTCATTACATCAAATGATCAAGTGCCTTATTACAGCACATACCTCCTGATATTCTCCCAAGGGAGTCAGATACTGCAGAATTAGTCTCTGCTGCATGCCAAGAGTCAGGGGGGGAGAGGAAAAAGGACATAGGGACTATGTGGTCCCCTCCCTTAGGTGCATAAATTACATTTCCAGTGGAACGGAAACCCTTGCTTGTTTTAATTAACAATGGATGTTTTGCTTGTAGACAACTTTTACCTGAAACAAAAAGAAAATATTTATTAATATTAAGGAAACTGAGCTGGCTTGTGCAGGGCAAATCTACTTGGAGTACTTCCTTCCTGGCACCCCCCTCCTCCCCCCCCCTTGACACAAAAGAAGAAAAACAAATGATAATAAGCACAAATACTGAAGTGCTTGAGGAAGGACACTTCTCAATCTATGTTATTGTGACCACCTAGATATACTATCAAATCCCCCCTAGTTCAAAATTGAAAGCTAACCTTGTTTCCCGTAAACTCCCAGAAGTGATCAACATGTAACTTCTCTCTATAATGTACATACGTAATTCACTTAACAGCTAATGAGAATACACAAACTTATCAAGCAGAGGTTGTTATCTTGATCTAAATACCAAATTCTCATAACTAATTTACATGGAAAGATGTAGCAACTATAGGGGAGAATTAACAATCTGATTTTGGGAGTCAAAGGGTCAAAAAAAAAACATAAAGTGCAGCTTTCCAACATTTTTCACAAGAGTGGAATTTTGAGGCAAAAAAAAAAAATAAACTCGACCTCTCAAAGACCCTATTTGCACTTACTGGTATCTAGTGTTTATTTCATTAAAAGCTTCAAGGACCCCATCCAAAAGATCTTTCACTTTTTATTGGAACTTATTCATCACATTATCCTAGTGCTTTCAATAAGATTTTGAAGAAGGGTTGCTGCCTAATGGTAAGGCACCTGCCAGAATTCCCTCTTGTAATCCCATTACTTTATTCAGAATAAACTGGCTTAAAACAGAGTTTTTGGTGCTAAACTTTCACAGATGATCATTAAATATTTTGTTCTTGATAAAAAATTGTTTAACTGATCATTCTATTCCTGATCAAAATTTTCCATTTCCCTGACATGCAAGCCTGCTCCCTGAGTTTCACACACAAAAGTCCTCTGAAAGGATATATGGTAAATGAAGTTTAATAAAATTTGAGTCAGACTGCTGTTGAAACTCAAAATATCTTCTTTTTATTGCAAATGTAAGGAAATGTATGCTAGAATATATGATAAGAAAATACCAATCATTTCATCAAAACTCATTTATAAAGGTAAAAGTTGACTGAAAAAGAACTCTAGGAAGATCTCAAGGTGTTTAGGGTCTCTCATCATGAGTTTTGCATGAAAGCTCCCAGAGTATACCTGGCAATTCACTACAGAATACCCGCTGAGCTCCTACTGGTGCTGGGTCTTACTAAAAGCACTGCCTCAGCTGTCAAAGTGAAACCCAAGGAGAATAATTGAGCCTTCAAGTTGCAAACCAGTCCATACCACTCCGGTTTGAAAAGGCTTAAATCAACTTAAAGTTGTTAAAGATTCAACTCACTGGCAGAGGGGGCAAATCTGAGTTACAATACTCAAAAAGTGAACTAACCCTATCCATTGTCTATATTTGTTTCTTCCCACTTCCATTACACAAAACAGATGTTTCACCATTCTGTGGCACTGTGCATGATGGTCCTGGCTCAGCAAGATTCACTTTCTTTACTTTGTTACTCACAATATTTACTATTTTTGCTCTTGTTCCTGTTTTTTTGCCTTCAGGATAATCCTATTTAACAGGGTCTGTCAGAAGGACTGTATAAGGTCCGAGAAGTCCTTTAAAATGCTGCCTTGCGGCATACAGGAACCCTAAACATGTGAAATTGCTATTTAATCCTCAATATAGTTTAAAAAAGGTGATCCAAACAAAAATGCTATGAGGACAAAGGACAATTCTGAGAAGTGTAAACTCAACTATACACTCGACTTTTGGAAAATAAATGCTATTAAGCACAAAGCTAAGGTGTAATATTTTAAACCCTTTTCACCTAACATCAGTATGCATATCTCCATACTGTTCTATATACATTTCTTTAGTTGTTGACTTGGAGAATTTATTTAACAAGATGTCAAAACTTTCTTTATTTGGTGATCATTTCTTTGTTCTCTCATAGCCTTTATGTTTGATTCAGGGGAGATATTGTAAGGAGAAATTAGATACTGGTCACTCTTTAAAAGTTGCTATACTGACTTACCAAGGTAGAGTTTTCTTCTCTGAATACTGCAGCAATATCCTGGTTCTCCATGGCAAATGCTAAAAGACCTGTTAATAAAATAATTATCAAAGTTTCTATTACTTGATACTTGAAATTAAAAGCAAATTAAATATGCAACTGCAGCACATACACATTAAAATGAACAAAAGGAATATTATAATCCTCAATGAAACAATGACTATCTATATCTTAACCTTGTACACTACCTTGGATCACCCTAACTAAAACAACCTTCTACTTACACCCAGTTAATAAACATGTACACAAAAATTGAGTTAATTCAGAAGCTGAAGCTGTACAAGAATGAGATAAATCTAATTCCCAGGAGGCCACTTGATGCTAAATATTTTGTCAGCTAAATTTTTCTTTTTTCTCTTTTTTCAGTTATGGTGACCAAAATGTTCAAAGCCTGAATTACTGTATAAAAAGACCAGTAAACTATGACAAATACCTGTAGCATATGATCTTAGGGTTCTAAGGCTTCTCCAACCCACTTGGTATAATTTGTTGATACGAAAAATATGAGAAAGATGTTTATTGTCTCATCACAAGTGTAGGACAAGAAAGAATTCTGAGTCCCATGAGGAATTGAACCCCAGACCTTCAGATTCCATACACTCCAATGCTTCCACTGGAGCCAGAGACTCACAGTGAGTGAGGTCTATTACAAAGTTCATATGACATGCATCCTGCATAGTGTCCTGCATAGCATCATGTTTATAAATAGCATGAGAGATGGTAAGTTTTGAACTCAGTAAAGAAATAAAGAAAGATGTTTTTCATCTTGTCACATGTGTAGGAAAAAGAAAAAAATTCTGAGTCATATTCTGTTTACAAACATGATGCTAACAACATTGCTGATCCTAGCAGTATGCAGGACAAGTGTCACTGAACTTTGTAATAAACCTCACTCACCGCAGAGTCTCTGTGGCTCATTGGTAGAGCATCAGACCCCAGAATCCCAAGATCTAAGGTTTGATTCAACGTGGGGACTCAGATCAGAATTTTTTCTTTGTTGTGACAAGACAAAAAACATCTTTCTCTATTTCTTTACCAAGCTCAAAACTTGCCATCTCTCTTACTCTGTTAAAGAAATATGTATTTCTTAATTAAGGAAAAATGAAAGTGAATCTGAAAAGTTTGCATTTTTTAAAGTGTTTTCCACTGAAGTGAGGTGACTGAGAGCAACAAATAAAATCTCTTTTTTTTTTTTTCTTTTTCATAACGTAACTAAAAGAAATTCATATTTTTTTTTCATCCATAATTTGATAAAGTAGAAATTGTGTGAGTTAATATTAAGTATTTAATTTTTTTCTAAAAAGGAAGGGAGTGCCATGCCACAGAAACTGGACACAATTTCTGGACTTTAACATGAAACTCAAGCTGACAAAAAAATGTCACATCTTAAGATTATCAACACTTTAACTCCCACAAGTGATTAACAAGTAACTTCTCCCTATAATATTCATACATTATCCAGCAAAAAGGTAATGAGAATAGTCAGACTTATCAGGAAGAAGTTGTCATCTTGATCTAATATCTTGTAAATATGTAAGAAAATAAAAAAATAAAAGCGTGAAAAGTGTGAAACACCAAATTCTCATAACGAATTTACAAGGAAATGCGTAGCAGCTAGAGGAGAGAATTTAAATCAGATCTTAGGAGTTGAAGGATTTAGAATACCTTGCTAAACTTACCATATCCTGAAAACTGCAGCACTTTCCAGCCCAGGCATGGCATTTAACAACACTCTGGCTGCAGTGCAGTTCAGATCAAACTGTTCCACAGTGCTCATGATGTAGGAGTTCATTAGTTTGTCCATAAATTCATCATTTCTGAACAGCGCCTTTCCATGCTATGTTTCATTCGTTCTGAGGGGAAAACGATTTTTTTTGGGTGTGTAATTACAGCCACATGCCAATCCAACAACAGTTTTATCACAAGCAGGGTAAAATTTCCGCACCGCCCCATCCTACATTATGCATTCAGTTCTTGGATTGAGAAAATAATGACAAAAACAACACATTACCATTGGTGAAACAGATTTGTTTTACGATAGTAGGGGGCTTTGCGGAAATATTACCAAAAATACTACTACTATTACACTTCACCAACCTTTGCAGTGTTTTAACGGGTGATACATTATCCTGATCTTCCTTTCGCCAAGTATCCAAAGGATTACTGAGTTCAGAGGTGCTATCCAATGCAGCCGTGGCCAAAACAAATAGACAGTTTACCACAACGAATTGACAACGTGTAGAGTTTCGAAGATTGAAAAGCCCGCCATTTTTGATCCGAAAGATATAATGATGCAGGATTACATGGTCTTCCTCTTCGAAAGTGATCTCGCTTTTCTCGGCATTATTACTCTGATATTACTGCAAGTGATTTTGTTGACTATATGAAGGTCAGATGTAATTCCCGTGTGTAAACTATATTTACGACGATTAGTCACATGGCGAGTTCCAACACAAGACGCGCTAAGTCCCAGGCTATTATCAAATTTCGCGAGGAATGCCTAGTTGTTATTGACCTCTAACCAGTCTTTTTTATCTTGCAACTCGGTCGGCTGTGATCTTCTTTGGAATGGTTCATCTTTAACGACCAAAAATAACCATGACAAATGAATGACATCCGTTTTATTTTGCCCTCCTTAATTTTTGATTCTAGTTTGATAAATTTTTTGAAGTGCTTAAGAGGAAATTAGAGTACCACAACTGAAGTTCAGAAAGGTACACGCAAGTTACTTAAACAGTTACAAGTTCCTTTATGATTTTACATTTTCTTCCTTAAAGACTCATCACCAGATGATTACCCGGAAAAGTTTTCTGAGTAAGGTATGGAGTAGCATGGAGATCTGGTTTTCATACAATGTTTACCCCAATTGTCGTTTCTGAATTTTACAGGAAATGTGTTACTTTTTGGTTCATCATTTTCTGTCATTTGTCCTGACTTTCTCTGATACTTTTCTTCTGAATTTTTCAAACTGTTCATTAACAGAACAAACTTGCAAAAAATGTTCCCCGGCATCTGAAAATATTGACCGATCGGCTTGACAAGTATAAAACCATCTTTTGGATTCTGCCATATTTACTCCCCTGGTCTGGGAACTAAATGATCTTTACGTAGGATATTAAAACGGTTTTCGAATGAGGTCCGCCAAAACAAAGAAAAATACTCATTACCAGCCACAAAATCTACAAGTAGTTAATCATACAAGTAAACAGACAATCACGCAATCGAGCAATCAGAATTATGGACAATTCCATGCCGTTAAACGTGGAAGTCGTTATTGGTATTTTACTTGGTTCTCAGGGCAAGTTTTGTTTACCGATTGCACTGCAAATCAATGCAAAACCAAATCTATAATTCCAACCAAATTTTTGCTTTCTCCACTTTTTTTCCTTTCTCCTGGTAATAGGTTGGATCAACAGCTAAAAAGAACCTTGAGGGCGGCCAACCCCGATGGTCTCCCTGACAGCAGCATGTATATTGCACACCTCCGCTATTTGCAAGACAAGCGTCGAGAAGACTTGCTATTATCCATGCATGTCAAGTGCTCAGAAAGGTGGTTTCTCTCACAGCTAATGAAGAAATATGCAGGTATTGCATTGATATGTTCCAGTGCTAACAGTCGTCGATAAGACGCCCGATTATAGCTAACCAACATATCGTAATGAAATGATTTAGTGTAGGGCTTTCTACGGTATCATTTTGACTCATGCTGTGTTAATTCTTTTTTTAGATGGACAAGCCATTGCAAAACGGCTTTGTGCCCAAATTACGAAGGCAACGGGACCCATTAAACGGCTGGTCAAAGGAGTACACAGGACAAAACTTTGACACGGTGGGTTGTAAATACCCCTCACAATTGCGGTTGAAGACGCGTTAAGCATCGACAGTCCACTGTGGAATGTACTAAACGATGATATCCAACAGCAGTCTGCTGTTCCCTATTGTTCAAAGAGACAACTCATTGATTTGGTTCACACACTCTCAAAAGATGCTTAGAGAGGAAATAGCCAGCACCAAAGAGGAAATGGCTCGGATGTTCAGTCATTTCGAGGGAAAGTTGAAGGTATTGGACACCTAGATGTACTTCCTTCTCGCGTTACTCTTCGCTAAATATTCGCCTTTTTACTTATGTCTTTTCTTGTTCTCTTTCGCGTTCCACCGCATATTTTGGTGTCCTCTCTAACTTTCTTTGCGCGTTTTCTCGACTTACTTTTTACGTAATTTTTTTTTTTTTTTGGTCGCTCAGTCCCTTTCTTTTCGTCCTATTTTCACTCTAAACCCTCTCTCCACAAACTTGAATCATACCAATTTCTTCTCGTTGACAAAGCTTTAGCTCTGCCGGTATTGTTGCTTTGCGAGTTGATCAGAAAAGGCAAAATACTGAGAATCACTGTTCAACTTCAACCTCACCAGTTTGATTTCGCGCTCAAAACGCGATTATTTGCTTATGCGGCTTCACATGTATCAGCCCACGTGAAGCCCTCGTGCAATGCCCAGTCGTGTGCCCGCGGTACGCTACACTGAAGCTCGACACTCAAGTATGCGCACTTCATTGTCATCTGCCGGTGTTTCCTGGCGCACACCTCGATGAGCGAGGTCTATTACGAAGTTCTATCCACAAACATTACCCTATCGACATTGGTAATCCTCACAGTATGCAGGACGCGTATCATATGAACTTCGTAAGAGACTTCACTCACCATGGAGTCTCTGTGGCTCAGTCGTAGAGCATCGGAGAGCAGAATCCGAAGGTCTGAGGTTCGATTCCTCATGGGGACTCAGAAGTTTTCCTTGTCCCACGCTCGTCACAAGACCAAAATCAAAACTTACTTCGTAAGAGACTTCGCTCACCATGGAGTCTCTGTGACTCAGTGGTAGAGCATCGGAGAGCGGAATCCGAAGGTGTGAGGTTCGATTCCTCATGGGGACTCAGAAGTTTTCTTTGTCCCACGCTCGTCACAAGACTAAAATCATCTTCATTTCTTAACCGAGCTCAAAACTTAACATCTCTCTTATTTCTCCCTAACTGCTTGTTTATGAGATTGCAACTCTTCGTAAGCGCCTATATGAATGCATTATGAATTCACTCGAAAAATTGTTGTGAATACATTACACATACATATGCATGCATAGGGAGCCCTGAACGAAACAAATCTACATATATATCATGTTATTCGCCCGTCGGGAGGTCCGTATTGGGAAAAACTGTGCCCTCCGCCTTGAGTACTCAAGAAAGAGGGCACAGTTTTTCCCAGTACGGACCGACCCTAGGCTGGTGAATAACATTCTACTACATAAATGATTCCTTATATACATTCACAAAGTGTTCTGGAACATACCAAAAGCTTACAAAAGAATTATTTTAGTAGTATTACGTAATAACTGCATCACTTGATGTCAGCATGAATAAGCAGTCTGGAGATTTCTAGAAGCTTATCTTTACAACAACAATTACTCATAACAATAGATTCTTGCCGAACGAAGTGGAAAGTCGCTAAATATAAATATTCCTTTCGCGATGACAAAAACCGAAAAAAGGAAGAAGGTGCCGTTGCATAAAGATGCATTTCTGAATCCCAAAATCATTCTCTTTAAATGTTGACGACCTCACCTCGAATCGAGCCAGTAAGAGGGCAAGAAAATTAGGAGCTTGCAAACATCTGGAAAATTCAATTGACTTCTGAATAAACGGGTTCCTATAATTAGAAATTTATTATCACTTGGTTCCGTAATGATACTCAATTCAACACGTTCGAAAATTCAGATCGAGAGTAATTGAGGCATCTTAGGTTTATTATGAAATTTTTTTTTATAAGACTGCTAGGCATGAAACGTTCAAGGCGTCTCAAATGAGCAAACACCTTTGACGGTGAATAATTCTGAGGAGAAACTCTCCGTAAAAACATAGATAGTTATCAGATAGGTAAACACTGTTCTGTTGAGATAGAAATGGCGAGAATGACAATAACAATTGCAATAACGACGATGATGATACATGTAAATAATAAAAATACCTAAAACCATACTAATAAAATGATTAATGATAATCTATAGATAGGTAAATTTCGTGTACCTTTAATGTTTTCGAATACCGTTGCTGATCGGCAAATTAGCATCATATTCTTCCTGTTGATGAAAGATTAGAATCATGACGTTATCACTCTTTTGACTCAGTCAATCATGTGAGAGATCCGGAGACAGATTGCATGTTTAGGAGCCTTTCCTTCTTCGAAAGACCCCGGGAGAAGGGGGAGAACGAAAAATGAAAAACAGACTTCGGTGAAGTTTCTTTCTCTAATTTGCATTACTTCATCGATGTCATTTGACTTGCGTTATTTTTTCCCTAAGGTTATCTTTTACATTATTCCATATGTTCGAGCCTTTCTACTAATCCATTGTTTCTTCAACTGAGTGTTTTATATCTTTGCAAGATGTTCCGTAAACCATAAAAAAATCTACATGCGTCACTCGGTGGGCGTTTAGATTAAATCTATTGCCAAGAGATATTGTTTTTCTTATCTTTTCATTATTATTATTCCTTTTAAAAATTGCTCTCAGGGGAAGTGTGATTGGTTAGCCTTTCACTCCCAGTGGTGATCACTATGAATCTTCTTCCTATGATATCCATACATTATTCAGCAGACAGGTAATGAGAATATTCAAACTTATCAGGTTGAGGTTGTTATCTTGATCTAACATCAAATTCTTGTATCCAATAGAGGGGAGAATTAAAAATCAGAGCTTAAAAGTTAAAGATTTAACCTCCCTTAGCCCACCCCTGTTTGCCTATTATCTTTCCTGAGAGTAAGCCATCCAACATATTACATCCGCACGCTCACGCGATTCTCTTCTTGAAAAAAAAATAGAAACAAAGGAAGCATTTTTGTCTTAAAACACAGTACATCAAAAGAAAATAGAAACAACGAAAAAATAAAGGGAAAATTAAATAACAAAAATTTTGAAATTCTGTGGCGCCCCTTTTTATCGCCAAGAGATGGAAACAAACAGTGCCTTAGTATGCATATTTGTAGGAGACTATATATGTTGGACATTGTTCTTCTCGGCGCCTGTCGGTGAAGTGAACGTTTTATCTATTTTGGTTTATTTGCATTGTGGGCGTTAAAATTTCACTTTTTTGTTGACCGCTTGATCGCAAATAAACGCTTGCCAATTACTGATAACTGTCTAAAAAATGAACAGAAACGTTATAGAAAAAGCAAGACGAATCAATATACACTTGAAAAACAAAACGAGACCAAACAAAAATGACAAACAAAAACAAAAAACAAACGAAGAAAGACAAAAAGAAAGGAAATTGGAAACTGTTGGAAATGGGAAAATTGCTTGACGGCTGACGGTTGAAACAGTCTAATGACGCCACTAAACTTTATTTGTCACCAAATGGCTTCAAGCTTCAAGGATCTGTCACTTGATTGGCTGATTCAAAACAATGATGATGT